GGATTAAAAATACTTTTATGCATCAGAAAATTTTCAAATTGCACAAGCAAAATCTTTATAATGTCCAGATAGTTATCAAACATTTCTTAAAACTTTATTTTATCTGTTATTTTCAGTAACAAATCTCTGTATGGGTTTGGTAGATTTGACTGATCTCGTAATCACATTAAAAAATTAGGAAATAGATATAAATTATGCCTTTTTCGTTCTAGAATGACAACAGATTATAACACGAAAACATAAATGTTTCAACTAAATAGCTTAAACCTCATAATATTACACATTTATATATACATTCATTTTTTTTATTATACTGACCTTTCAGCCATGCTTGGCAAACAAATACAGAAGTTACAATGATACGGTGCACAGGCTTTTATGTTACCATATCCAATAATATAAAACTGACCTTTAGTCTTTACAAAGTGATCTGTCTTGGCTGTGTTTTAGCAGACTAGTATTTTGTAAAATACAGTCACATTTCAATTATTATACATTATATATGTATATAGATTATTGCTATTTAGAAATCTGTTCTTAAACTTATCTTTCTTAATACATAGAACAGTAAATAAAGAAGTAAAGCAAACAATTATCTCTTTAGTTACGAACTCTATACTCGGATGTTGCTTGACGTAGGTTGCTAAGCCTTTTAAAATTTTGCACGTGTAGGACAAGAAACAAAATAATTTTCTTAGGTTTTTATATATACAGTTGAATTAACAAAAAATCATAAATTACTATATCAATACCATAGGATTCCACTATAATTTATCAAGCTTTGTAACTAAGCTGTAATTCAGTCTAAAGAAAGAGATGGCTTCCAAACACGTTAAAATGGCTGTTAAAGCTGCTAGTGGTACATTGAGATTTTGATTGGTTATTCATGTCATATATAGAAGTTAGTGTATATATGGAAAGAGGTGGGCAGGGTGCCACTGTGTTTATTACAGGAGCAATATCTTAGCAAATTGAAAATATAAGACTTATTTTATATTCTAACTTGTAAATATTGGTAATTTGAGTTCCTAATTCATATGAAACTATGAAATTAGTATTTTGACATCACAAACATCTAATTTGAACCAGTGCTGCATTTAATATACCACTTGACACACAAAAATCGATGTTTAAGTGTTTTTTAATATTTACTTTTAAATTAAGAAACTGAGTAATGTATGATACTAAAATTTGAATTATAATCTACAGTTTGATACCAAACTTATTGAAATAAATTTATGAAATAGTATTAGGTCGACAATAAATTAGTGTTCCTTTTTTTAGATGAAAAAAACTGGAACAACTTGTATACCAAAACAAAATATTTATTAAATGAAATAGTCTCCATTCTTATCGATGATGCCTTTCCATCTTACAATCAGGTTGTTAATGCCCTGATTAAAGAAATCACTTGGCTTTGAAGCAAAAAATACCTTTAACACCTTCCACATTTGCATACATTTTCCTGTTAAGATGGTGTTGCAGTGAACGAAAAAGATGGTAATCTGATGGTGCCATATCTGGAGAATATAGTGAGTGGGGAGAACTTTCCAACCCGAACTCCAAAATCGTGTGTTGCATCAAACGTGCTACATGTGGATGTGCATTGTCATGGAGAAGAACACCTTTCCGATTGACGAGTGAAGGGTGTTTCTGATGAAAGGCTTGATTTAAACGTTCCAGTTGGAGACTATAGATCTCTGCATTGAGAGTTCACTGTGGATTGAGAAGGTCGAAATAAATTACTTCTTTGATGTCCCACCAAAATGCAAAGCATCACTTTCTGCAGATGGAGTCCAGGTTTTGGGATCAAAAGTGGTTTTTGTCTAGGACTGAGCCATTTTTTTTGCGTTTAATATTCACAAAGAGAATCCATTTTTCATCACCGGTGACAATTCTGTCCAAAAATGGTTCACTGGCATTAA